CAAACCGTTCTGTGATTCTATTAATATCTACTGCAGTGTAATGTCTACCCCAGGGATGGTTGATGCTTCCACCCAGACAGAGGTGCCAAAAGTCAAGGCTGGAGTGCAAATCACAGGATGTGGGAAGTGCCCAGACATTTCTCCTGAGGCAGGAGCAGACAGCAGACCCGCATACCAAATGTGTGCCCAGGGGGAGGTTCTCCTGCAGCAGGTGGCTGAGCTGCAGGAGGTGGAGAGAAGGCTGTGGGACACCAGGGAGTCCGAGAAGAAGTTAGACAGCACGTCCCAAGTGCAGTCTGCAGTGGACCCATGGCCAAACAGCCCCAGACTCCCCCAGCACACACAGAAGGGAGGGAGACCAATACTGGCAAAGAATCGACAGTAGCATGGGCAAGGACCAGCAGGAGGAAGAGACTTCCCCCAAAGCCTGAGGTGTCCTTGCAGAACCTCTTCACTGCTGTGCGAACAAAGAGGAAAGACCCAGACGGTGGTAGAGAACAAGGCAGCTCCATCTGCTCCCCATATAATGACCAGCACAACTAAGAGAAAGCGACGGGTGATAGCAGTAGGTGACTCTCTTCAGAGGGGTAGGGAAGCACCTATTTGCCAACCTGATGCACCCTTTCGAGAGGTGTGCTGCTTACTGGGGTCCCCTATAAAGGATATCACTCAGAAACTACCAAGCCTCAGACAGTCTACTGACTCTTACCTGCTGCAGTTGTTTTACGTGGGCATCGGTGATGCAGCCAGGAGCAGTTTGAGGACTATCCAAATGGATTACAGAGCCCTGGGGGCAGCCCAGGTAATGTTTTCATCAATCCTCCCAGTGAAAGCTAAGAGATTTGAAAGGGTCAGTTGAATCTGACAAATCAACAGTTGGCTGCAGGACTGGTACCACAGCCCCCTGGTACTTCAGCTGCTTAGATCATGGGACTCACTTTGAGAAGCCTGGTCTGCTGGCAGCTGATGGGGTACAGCTGACAGAAAAGGGAAAGCATATCTTCAGGCAAAGGCTTACCAAGCTGGTGAAGAGGGATTGAAACTAAAGTTGCTGGGCGAGGGGAACCTCAACCCATCCCACTCCTGCAGGTTGGAGGCCAGTGCCACCACCAACAGATGCCGAGAGACTGGTGAACAAGACAAGGGAATTCCAGCTGTTCCTGTCGGCAAGCCGTCTCCACCAGGAGCCCACCTTAAGTGCCTCTATGCGAACGCATGGAGCATGGAAAGTAAACAAGAGGAGCTGGAGGTGTGCGCACGCCTGAGGGGCTGTGACAGCTGCTGTGACTGGAGTGGGTGTCTTTAGGAAGGACAGGCAGGGGAAACGTGGATGAGGGATTGCTCTCTATGTCAGAGACCAGCTGGAGTGAGTGGAACTCTGTCTGGGGACAGATGAGTTCACCAAGAGTTTATGGGTCGGGATTAAAGGGAAGGCAGGGAGAGGGGGATATTGTAGTAGGAGTTTGCTACAGGCCATCTGGCCAGGATGAGCAAGTGGATGAGACTCTCTGCAGACAGACGGCAGCAGCCTCACGGTCACAAACCCTGGTCCTCATGGGGGACTTCATCCACCCCAATATCTGCTGGAGGGACAACACAGCAGGGCACAAAAAGCCAGGAGGTTCCTGGAATGCGTCAATGACAACTTCCTTATCCAAGTGACAGAGGAGCCGACGAGGAGGGGAGCCACGCTGGACCTTGTTCTCCCCAACAGAGAGGGGCTGGTGGGGAATGTGAAGCTTAAGGGCAGCCTTGGCTGCGGCTTTGCGAAACCTGGTCTAGTGGAAGGTGTCCCTGCCCATGGCAGGGGGGCTGGAACTAGATGGTCTTTAAGGTCCCTTCCAACCTAAATCATTCTATGATTCTGTGATACAGAAATTGCTATCATCCTCTAATTGATGAGAAGCGGAATTCAGATGGGGAGTACTGGCACTGTTGTTAGCCTCTGAATTCAAAGTATCCTGTTACAGTGACATCCAGATGCCAGTTTTGTAAAAGGAATGCCATTGTTCTGCATTGTACTTCTTTTTTTCTTTTGGACAGTTTAAAAAAACAGGGATTGTGGCAGTGGGTAATTGTTACTGGTTGTTGGTTTGTTTGGTTTTTTTTTCCTTTTCCCTGTTTCATTTGCATCTGTCAGCAATTCTTTTACTGCCCTGAGCAGCTGAGCTATGTTGGACACAATTTTTTATTGTGGGAAAGGAAGGAACTGCTGCTAATAATTTGTGTTTTAACAGGATGGGAAAACAGCAGAAGATCTCGCCAGAGCAGAGCAGCATGAACATGTAGCCAGTCTGCTTGCAAGACTTAAAAAGGTTGGTAACGCATTAATTTTAACAGATTTTCATGTTTTTAAGATAACCAAGAAAAGTTTCACCATGGGACATCATATGATAAGATACTCATCATAAAGCTGTTGTAGAAATCCTTCCTGGAATGGTGTCTGTCTCTTCCCCTTGCTTAAAAGCAGGTAAAAGCAGTGTTTACCTTGCAAAGAGCAAGTGGAAATGAACAGAGAACTGGAGGAGAGGGAAGAAGAGAATTCTCCTAATACAAGAACTACAGGAAAAGTTGATGCAAAGGAAAGTAGAAATGCACGTGAAGTTTTTTGGATTGGTCAGGTGGTAGCTGTCACTGCAAAATTCTTCAATGCTGCATGTGTGTTATATGTAAGATCATGGGTATTTGTTAGGCTGCTGAGAATCATAGTTAAGGAGAATGGGTACTGAAACACGGTAGCTTTTCCTCCTTTGCCCTCCTCATCAGAGGTCAGGATGATCCCATTCACTGACATTGAGCCTGAAGTCACATGTGATTGTCATGAAGGCTCAAGCTGTCTCTTGAGCACAAGCACTCAGCTGTGCTTTCTCTACCTGCCCCTGCCCTTCTGCCAGTAACTGATTGCTTTTGTGATGAAGCAGATGGAGGGATGGATGAACACCAGCCTGGCAAGAAAGCATTATCTAAACCCTGTCTTTTGACTTTGGTGGGAGGCAGCATTTCCCTGAAACACGTTCCAATTTCTTCTTTCTGTTGAATTTTAGGATACGCACCGGGGGCTTTTTATCCAGCAGCTACGGCACACACAGAATCCGCAGCCCCGGATCAAACTGAAGCTGTTTGGGCACTCTGGCGCTGGAAAAACAACCCTCGTAGAGTCTCTCAAGTGTGGCCTGATACGAAGTTTTTTCCGAAGACGTAGGCCTAGGCTTTCCTCCACAAACTCAACAAGATTCCCCCCATCTCCTTTGTCTTCCAAACCTTCGGGTATGGCTTTGAAGCTGTAGTGTTTGAACGAGAAAATGTTTTCCTTTAGTCTGTGTAGCTGCTAAGGTAGAGCTGTTGGCGGCACTGCAAAAGACAGGACAGGCTAAGCATGTAAGAAAGCAAAGCCAAGTGGAGGGGGTATTGACTTCTCTATGTGCAGGCTTGTACCTAAAGTAAGAGCAAAGAGGAGCAGCAGGTGTGGAGGGTGTAGGACTAGTTGAGATGCATAAGTCAGCTTGGAGAGTGGAGGACAGGGCTTGTGAACACTGGTGTTACTTTTCACAGGAAGTCTTAGGCCAGTGTCATGAGCAGATACCACGATGGTGGCTTTGGGGATTCTATCTTTTCAACCTTTTGGTTAGAGTAGCTTCAATAAACTCTCTGCAAAACTGAAACACTTGCTGCATCTTTATGTGATCTTTAAGAATTAACGGAGGATTCAGAACTGCCGCAGATGCCTTGGAGTGCGTTTCCATAATGTATAGGTGTGGATAAGCCCAGTTAGAGGTGTCTGAAATTGTCTCTAAATAGTGTGAAAATGGAGGTTTTCTAAACTGAAGTAAATGTGTGCAAGTAATAGGGAAGCTCTGCCCGTGTAGCACCAGTTGGCCTGTATGATGTGAGAAGAGCTGCAGGATGTGGAGGAACTAGCTAGATTCACACTTCAACATGTGCCTGGCTTTGGAAGAACCCACAGTTATGGCAGAAGGACACTTGGAAGAGTAGTGACCTATTTGACCAGATAGATGCCTTATCTGACACTGAGGCATCAGTGTCTGAGGCATCAGTGTCTGATGTTCTTTTAATGTGTAGATTTTTTTTCCTTGTTTCAGTATCTTCTTTTTGGATTAAAATTGTTATATAACATGTAAATATTGTTAGGTGTTGACAGAATCAGATAAACATTTAAACCAGAACAATTTGGTCTATACTTGATCACGTGCTTAAGTTTGTTGAAATTCTGTAAAAGTAAGTGTGTGAATTCACCATGTATTTATTTACAAGAGTCTAAAGATTTAAATATTACAGTATAAGATCAAACATGGAAGTGTAGTTTTACAGCTGACAGGTAGCTTCTTTCTGTACTAAGCCCAAGTACTAGAATTCATCATCTAATGGAGGAAATAAGTCTTTACTCTCTCCACTAGATGGTGCAATTCAGTTAAAAAGCCCTTTCATTTCTCATTTACTCTTGGGGAACCTGGATTAAGTATGGACTAAAGAAATGGTTTATTAGTAAATAATTTTGGCTAAGGGCCTGCTTTTTTCCTCCAATTCCCCAGAAACAGTTGTTACAGAGTCATATTTTTATCCTTACTTACAGGAATTAAGTTAATAAATATGTAGCATTTCCATGCCATTAAAAACAACCCATGCTATGAAATTGCGGCCCTTAGCAGGTTATCTTTGCAACACAGAAAAACTTTAACTATTGAAACCAGCTGTTCCCAAATCATTCAGGTTTTTTTATGCTTCCCACCCAGCAATGTATCTGCTAAAGGGCAGCATAGAGGATCATCGGAAGATTTTCCTTTTCATCATTCAGAATAAGGATGTAGTTGTGTACGCTCACAGATTGGTGGTCATTTCTTTTCTTTGAAGAGCAGTTTGGGTTTTTTAATCAGCTTTTATGCCTTGCAAATTTATTTTGAAGTGATCGGGTTGTGATTTTCACATGGTTTGTAATGTCATTCTCCTTTCCCTGACCCAGTTTCAATAAGCATTACAAATCTTTATCCTGGTTGTGAGAATGTCAGCGTGAGAAGCCGTAGTATGATGTTTGAGCCGGGCCTGACCAAAGGAGTATTAGAAGCTTTAGTTTCACCTGCTCATCACTCTCACTTCTCTGCCGACGACCAGTCCACCAAGGCCATTGACATTCAGAATGCCTGCTTGCACGGTAAGCAGAACCCTGGGCTGGCATGCCTTAATGCTGAGGGACAGTTAATGCCATGTCGCTTCCTTTTTAAAAATAGAAATTAAAAAAGTAAAATCTGACTTGGCATGGTAGTGACTGTGGTTGAGAATCCAAAAGTCGTGGGGTTTGGTTTAAACAGAAGGTAAATCTGCATCACATTCTCTACATGTAATACACATAGTAATCACTTGTGTCAGATCCTTATACATAGAAATGTTCTTGAGATTAAGTACGTGTGGCAGTAGGACAGAGAGGTTTGGTATAATGGGAGTGAGTTGGCAGATGGGCTACTAGTGTGAAGGCTCCTATACCTCTACTATATGTCGTCTGGGGATTTTACCAGATTTGATCTGGTCGCGTAGACCCAAGTGTCCTCACCATGTAAATGGTTCCCAGCTGTGTGAAAGACCTACCATTCTTGCCCCGTGACAGGGATGGAGCATGTTTGATGAGCCCTGAATCTCGCCAAACGTGGTGAGTGGAGCTTCTGATTTGGGGTTTTTTTTGAAAGGAAGCTAACTGCTCTGCAGTTGAAACTAGTCAGCAGTAAAGAGAGGTCAGAGAAGTTGTCGTAAATGCAGATAAGCTTTTGACTGTGAAGACCATACAAACGGTGCATATACCCCACCAGCCATGCTAATCACTACATAGGTGGTAAGATTTCTCCCGGTGGAACCTATTCTTAATAAGGAAAATGTTTTGCACACCTTAGCAGCTGCAATTTTGAGGCCGAGTTAGGATTAGTCAAGGTTTTATTATGAGGGGAGACTTTTGAACTAACATATGCAGTGACAAAATGTTTGTCCTATGTGCAAAAGAGTTTGGCATGTAGCTGAAGCTTGTTCTTTGTCCAGGCTAATTTCCTCTTTCAGTGTATTTTGAAACCAAGTCAAATTCTGCAGTGAAAGAGAGTTGTGCAACAGACTGTCAGAAGGGGTTTCTTCTGTTTCCCTGTGCTGTCTTGATAGAGAAGGAAAGTGTGCACATGGGTGAATTCTGAATATCTGTACACATAACCGCAGATTTGAGGTTTCTGGCTTCATCTAGAAGTTTGAGGTGCATCTTAATCGACGTGTATTTAAACAGAGGTAGTACAGGTGCATCAGGCTGATCAAACAGTGAGTCTGGGAAGTGCCATACAGTGCAGTGGGCAATTACTTTTCTCACCTGAGGCTGAAGGAGATGGCAGAAAGAAGCACGGTGCTGTTGGGATCCTTAACGTGGCAATTCTTCAGTCCTGACTTAACCACGTGATGTGCATAGTACAGTTCTGTAAAGCGAAGGAGGCTCTTTGAGAATGCCCTTCATCTGGTTTTGGTACCAGCAGTGGCAAGTTAAGGAGAAAAATTAATAAAAATGTTGAGCTTTTTTGGGGTGAGCAGGAAAAGAATGAGAACCATTATTCTTGTTTTTCGGGGGAATTAAAAGATCTGTTGCTGTTGTGCAAGGCAGAGTTTAATGTGTAAGGCTGCATGCATTTGACACGCAGGTGCTTCCTTGTGGCATCCAGCTAAACGTCCTAGAGAAGTGAATGTGAGAGGAACAGATTGTGAGGACCCCAACTTCTCAGCCTCTGAGACTAACTGAAACCTGTTCCCATTGTTCGTGGTTGCACTTGCAGTCTTGCTTTCTCATGTGCACAGAGTCTACCTTTGTGAAAGTTTAAATCAGATTAACTCTTTTGTTTGTTTTTCCATAGCAGAAAGATGTTTCGTGCCTACTGACAAAGTGTCATCTCTTCATCTGTTGACTGTTTTTCAGGTGTTGGTGATTTCAGCATCTGGGAATTCTCTGGGAATCCGGTGTATTTCTGCTGTTATGATTATTTTGCTGCAAATGATCCCACTGCAATTCACATAGTGCTTTTTAGTCTTGAGGAGCCGTATGAAATCCAGTTAAACCAAGTGACCTTTTGGCTCAGTTTCCTGAAATCCTTAGTCCCAGTTGAGGAGCCAATAGGTATGCTTTTCTGCCCACTAATGAAATACTGTGGGGCTCTAAGATCAATCTTCTTGTGTTACTCTGCAACTTCGTATATACTCCATGTTGGCTGCTGTTATGTGTCTTCATCCCTAAGCTTTCAAAGAAATTTTACATAAGGTTTCTTAGAGAAAGGGAATTTTATCTGTGGAGCAGGCCTGGAGAGTTGTACACACTGCTTAGTCCAGCTAAAAGGAGTCATGAGGTGCAGTGCAACCTCTTGTGGCACTGGGATTTACATCTCTAAATGGCAGATGAAGTTTTATGTCAGGTAAGGTTCATGGAAAAGTGTTTCAGAGGATTAGATGCATTCAAAAGCAGTTTTAGATGCATTGCTTAAATTCTACTGTTATCTAACCCCAATTAACAGTGTTTTCAGTGTAAATTAGTCTTGTCAGTGAGAACAGAACAGAATGACACTGTGGAGTGGCATTACCTCTCAGTCCATGCCATTTTAACACGTTTTAGCTTGAGCTGTATTTGGCCTTCGAGTATGCTAACCTTTGATACATTGGGCTTCACAGAAAACAGTTTTTCTAGTAAATTTCACTTCACATATTCTCAGACTTTGCACAGATTTCAAGTAAGTTTACTTGTTTTATATTCAAGCTTTCTAACAAACTGGAAGTTACTTGGAAGATAAACAAATCAATTTAAGTACCTTCTTTGTTTTTTTCTTAAAAACTGTGTAGATTTAGGTATATGTATGTAAATCATATCACTTGTTCGTGTTTGCAGCTGAGCATTGCTCTGCAGACTGTGACAGATTCATGGACAAACCAAGCTTTACACATCTTGGTTCTAGGAACTGACATGTTATTCCAGCCAGTGGATCTAACAGTGCTCATGGACATTGATTACACTGCTAGGACTCGCCAGAGAAGCTATCAGAAACTTCCACAGTGCAAACTCTTTTTGTTTTCTGCTTGATTCTGTATGCATTATCTCAGCCAGATAATGATGAGCCAAGGCAGACCTTGAGTTCTCAGTTTAGGAGCATTTCACAGAATAATAGAACAGTTTGGG